GTTCACTGACTAGACACCGGCGCACTCACTCAAAACCGAGCGAGTGATACACGCATCTATGCAGGGCGAATACAGAAACTAGGACTTACATCAAATCGTATAGCATGACAGTATCACATCGTCTAAAACAATCCTGCTGCCTGCCGCGATATCGCGCTATCGCGATATCGCTCCGTCCTTCATAGCTTATAGTAGAGTATTGTGAAGTATATAAATGACATTACTGATCTCTGTATACTATCTGGATAGCGGCTGGCCAATCCACTGTCGGTGAGATTAGAGAGCCTAGAATATATTCAGATATCATTACAAGAACGCCTGTGGCGTGATACGTCACGTGTCATGTATTGGTGTAATGTTGCATGTATAGGTTATGTAATGTTTTTTTGGGGGAAATTTTTTCAAAATTGTCATTTCTTTCAGTACATCTATTGTCATAAATACAAACGTCACATGTTGGTATGTACCTATAGATTGTGTGTTTTATGTGAGCACATGTGGTGGTGGGGGGGGGCTGCACGTGTGAGTGCGCGCGCACGTGTGTGCATGTGTGTGTGTGCGCGCACGTGTGTGTATGTGTGTGTGCGCGCGCAAAATCTCTAACAACCTCGTGATGAACTGCGAAAGGATATCCGATTACAATCCTATTGTCTATCAGTATCAGCGGAAAATCGCTGAGATTGACTGGATCCACGTCCTCGACGTGCCGGACCGCTGCGCACTCGCATGTGAGGGACAGTGCTGCGCAGAGAACTTCACGCCAGTCTAGATTCTGCATGTATATGCAGTAACCTTTCCGGTCGCGGGAAGGTGAGAGTAGGACCCTCAGGGGGGAGCACTCCCTAAAAAATAGGGTAGGTATGTGCCACTTGAGAGATGGAATAGGGGGTTCTCCGGTATTAACTCAGCACATCAAAATGCGGGTCTCCGGAACTAGGGTTTGCTGGAAAGCATGATGCTCTGGAACTGGACATGTTTGCGAGAGGGGGGTCTCCGGAACGTGCGGAAAAATGTAGGACCTATGCTCCGGGACGGGAAATGTGTGAATATGGGTTTCTCATTAGTTCTGTTATTAAAATTTTCGCTTCTATATATACAAAGACGCGTTCTATATATATTACAGGCGCGCCGGAAGCAGTTTTGGATTGGGGGGGCAAAGGCCTAAGGGGGCTCACGATTTTTTTTTATCGTGTGTGCGTGAGCGCGTGAACGCGTGTGTGCGTGAGTCGCTGTCCGTTGTCGTCCGTCGTACGTCCGTCTGTCAACGTTTCGCTACGGTCAATGATAACTCCGGAACCGTTTGGCCCACATGTTTGAAATTGGGTATAGTTGTTACTGCTATGCTCCCATATTAAACGTCCTATTTTGAAGCACGCCAGTCAACGTACTTTCGAGCCACGACAATTTTTTTGCAAAAATGGGAATTGCCATTAGTCAGTTCAGGTTCAACGGATTTTGATCGTTTTTGGTATGTGAATGAATAAGGGCTAGGGGTGTTGATATTAAAAAAAAAATTATGCAAATTAGGTAGGGTTTGGCTATTATATAGCATATTATATAGACACAAACAGTCTGTGGTGTCACACTCGTCTGGTTCGTTTTACAAGATTTCATTGACAATATCTTTAATGCAAA